GGGGAGTGTCACGGAGGGTTTGGGAGGCATGTGCAAGGTGATGCGATTTGGGTGCCCGCAACCAGGAGGGGTTGGGGTAGCGTGACGTGCTGCTTGGGGGCCCGCGCTGCATCTTTGGACTGACTTTGCTACAGGCAGGAGAGCGGACGGGCCATCGCAAGGCAAGCTTGGTGCCGCCCACACCCCCTGACACTCTCATTCGGCGTCCCACACGTGTGTGACCCAATACCCTACGTGTTGCAATCACAACCAGATCAATGCACCAGATCAGATCAGATCAGATCAGATCACCTGGTACACCCCAACGTCGATGGGGTCGTGGGTGTCGTCGTCAGCCAGGTCAAACTTGACCTCCGGCGACGCCAGCTGCAGCGCCCCCCGCGCCACGCGGCCGGCGCGCAGCTTCTTCGCGAGCGACAGCAGGTGACGTAGGCCTGACATCATCATGAGGGTGGGGGGTGTGGGGCGTTGGGTGTGGTGCGGGCGGGCCGCAGGGTGCCGGGGGCCGCAGCGCGCAGCCGCCGGGGCCCCTGGTTGGGACTTGATGTGGCGGGCCACGCGTCGGATGTGAACGCAGGGGCGGCGCCCTGCAAGGAGGCGCCGCCACGCCCCCCCGAATCAGCCCGGCGCAGGCCCGCCGCCGTGGCGAGCGGCGCGGCGCTGCTGCTGCCTCCCCCAAGAGCACAGGGGGCCGTGCCGCTGCCGGCGCTGACCGTGACAGGCGCGGGTCGCGCGGCCCCGGGCCACTCCAGGGTTTAACAACCACACCCTGGGGGTCACGAAAAATCGCGCGACCAGGGAGCGTGCTTTTCCTGCACCCCAGTACCTCCAACCGAGTCCCCCGGATCCCGCGTCTCACCCGTGGTGACCTCGTCCGTCTGCGACGGGTCGTCAATCCGCGCCTGCGCCTCCGCGTACGTCAGCGCCGCACGGCTGCGGATGACGCCCTTTGTGAAGCGCGTGGACAGGATTTCAGCGTCGCGGCTCATCTCCCATATCGCGCTGAACGTCAGGCGCTCGACGCCGCCCCTGGGGGGGTCGGGATTTGGGGAGGTGGGGGCGCTGTGTCGCATGGCGGGATAAGCAAGTGATCGGGTGGCGAGGAATTTGACGCGCGACAGGGCACGGCGTGACGATGCTTTTTTGAAGGCAGGGCCGCAGAGGGGCGGACAACTGCGTGACCCCTCACCGTCACCTACGATCTCTTAAGTCCTGATCACGCCCCCCCCACCCAAACAGGTGTGGATCATGCCTGGAAACATCAATAAATCCCCAGTTGTGGTGGGGCAAGAGACCCACCACAACTACCCACCCACCGCAACCATCCCACCCACGATCAAAAACATTCCACCCAACACAACCCCCACCAACTCCTCCAACCCTCCCACCGCCAAAACCCACACCGTCTTGCACCCCCTCGCGCACCCCC